AGGGTTTCCGAGGGTGTAAATCCTTACGGGAGTAGAAAGCCTCATCTTTCTCCCGCGGAGCAGCTGGTAGTTTCGAACCGCTGACCTTTAGCCCGATTCGTAACCACTACGCTACCAGAGCTCACTTAGCAAGTATATTAGGGTTTGCTTAATATATTTTGGGGCTCTTTCGTTTGGAGCATATTTATTTATTATAGTTATGTCCTCTTTTTCTATTGACCCTTTAATCATGAAATAATCTCCATCTTTGTCTCTTATGCTAGTTTACACCTTAAACTTTATTTTATCAGAGATTAATATTGCCACTCCTGCACCTCTTTGACTGCAGTTAGTTTGGTATATTTTTTTCCATCCTTTAATTTTTAATCTATTTTTGTGTTTGTGTAAGGTGTGTCTCTTGTAGACAGCATATTGAAAGAGCCTATTTTCTTATCCTTTCTACTACAATCTATCTCTTGACTGGTGTATTTATATTTAGTCCATTAACATTCAGTGTAATTATTGATAAGTATGGATTAATTGCTGTCATTATGCTGGGTTTTTATTTATTTATTTATTGGTGGGGCTGCCAGTTTCTTTGTTGTGCATGCTTTTCTGTGCTAAGTTCATTATTTTTGTGTTTTTCTTTTCAATTTCTTCATAGTTTTAAGGTTTCCATTATCTTCTTGGAATTTCCTTTTCTGATTTGATGTGGAGATGTATTAAGTTTCTTTACGGTTACCCTAAATTAATTTCTTCTACATTTTAAAACTTTTATTCTGAACTCTACTTGACCCCCTCACCACCTGGATCTCTGTTACTCTACTTTTCCCTTCTTTCACTTTGTAATTGTCCTGATCATAGACTGACCTCCTGGGCCCCCCAATTTCACTCATGTAGTTTTGTTCTGCTCTAGAGTACTTCCATCTCTGAACTGAAGTCCATGTGGTATTGCTACGTGTGTCAATCTCTGGTTGTTGTCTGTTCTTATTGGTTCTCAGTGAAAAGAATTCCCTTTAGTATGTTTTGAAGCTCTGGCTTGGCTTTTATAAAGTCCCTTAATTTCTGTTTATCCTGAAGTGTTCTGATTTCGCTGTCATATTAGATTGACAACTTTGCTGGGTATATTATTCTTGGTTGGCAGGTTGTTTTTTCTTTTTCTTTCAGGGTTTTGTATATGTCTCCCCATTGCCTTCTACCCTGCGTGATTTCTGCTGAGAAGTCAAAGCTTAATCTTACTGGCTTTCCTTTGTAGGTAATTTTTTTCCCTAGCTGCTTTCAGGATTTTTTCCTGAAAAGAAAAAGCTGGTGGGTTTTAACTGCTGTCTTAGATTTCGGAGACTTTGAAAATGATATATCTTGGTGATTTTCTTTTGGGGTCCGGCCTGCCTGGGGTTCATTCAGCTTCTTGAATGCTTATCTTCTTGTCTCTCAAGACAGTGGGGAATTTTTTTCCCAGGAGTTGTTCAGGTGTCTCTTCTTTGTTCCACCTCCCTCAAGTCCGAGCAGCTGTTTCTCCCAGTGAGAACCTGCCCAGGGCTGGCCAGTCCGCTTTGTAAGATTCCTGAAGCAGCTCTTCCTACTGTCTCCTCCTCCTCCTTTGCTTCTGCACCCAACACAGCTCAGTGCTGATCCTTCAGCACAGGGCAGAATCTTCCACGTGCTACATAGGACCGTCCTGGGGGTATCTGGCATAGCTTGCCACTCTAAGATGAGTAGACAGAGCAAAAGAAAAGAAGTAAAAAGGAAAACTGAAAAACACTCAAACCTCTGTTTCTGCAGTTCACTTGCTGGTTTCTGCCTTGGGAGTGTTTTCTTCTCCCTCTACAGGCTCACTCACATTCAAAATGGTTGCAGTGGAATACACCAGTGGCCTGAATCAAAAGTCTCCTCCTTTCTTGCTTGTGTTCCAAATCTTACTGCCAGGAAGCACCTGATCCACTTATTTATCCCTTTATCTGAGGTTCAGAGTTCCAGGACCATCCTCTGGTTTTGTCCAGTTTTCTATGTGTTTACTGATGGGAGTCTGCATAGCCTAGTCTGCCATGAATCCCCCTTCTTGTTTTATTTTAAATACTTCTATTTCTGAACTCCTGTTGTGATGCTGTAGGGTCTGCATTGGACTGCCAGCCACAAGATCAGCAGTTCAAACCCACCAGCTTCTCC